CCCGGCTCTCCCTGAGAGATAGATGGCTTTCTCACGCTCTTGCACTTTTGCTTCGTTTCCGCTCCTTTAACCTGCACATTTCTTAAAAACAGGAAATAATGTTTAAACATGTCTAACTGACAGAAAATGTATATCTGTACAATTTGGGGCACTTCTGTGTGGTGTTTTTTTCACAGTGCATTTATAAAAGAGAAACACAAAATGACATTTATTCGGTCCCTGGTATGTAGCAGATTCTATATTTGGACCTTCCTTTCCTGGGGATTTTTTCCTCCATGAATTCTCATGACAAGAACTACTTTGATTTTATAGATGAGGAAATGGATGTTGGAAGACTTTAAGCCACTGTGCGGTAAGTCACGGAGCTGTGATGGGAGATCGAGGGTTCCAAGACACAACTTCAGACTCCAAGTCCGGTGTGAACTCACGCACAGCGCTGCCCTGGAGAGATGGGTGTGCCAAGGAGCCTTCATGTCACAGGCCCTCGAGAGAGACAGGCACGGAAGCCACGCCCGCAACGGGCCTTCCCAGGGCCAGGCAACCCGGAACGGCTCCTCTTCGCCATCCCTGCCGGGGTATACTACACCAAGCTCTACTGTCAGAGAAGGGTGGACTGAGCAAATGAGTCAATCTTTTTATTTTTGAGTTTTAAAAAAATACGTTTTTATTGATTTCAGGAAGAGGGGGAGAGAGAAACATCAGTGATGAGAGAGAATCATCCATCGTCTGTCTCCTGCATGCCCCTCACTGAGAAGTGAGCCCACAAGCCCAGAATGTGCTCTAAGAGGGAATCGAACTGACTGCCTGGTTCATAGGTCAGTGTTCAACCACTGAGCCATGCTGGCCAGGCCAACCAACTATTTTTTTTTTAATCCTCACTTGATGAAATGTTTTTATTAGAGAGAGAGGGAGGGAGAGAGAGAAACATTGATGTGAGAAAGAAAAAATGATCAGTTGCCTTCCCTATGTGCCCCAGCTGGGGATTGAACCTGCAACCTGGGTATGTGCCCTGACCAGGAATTGTATGGGGACATTTTGGTGTATGGGACGATGCTTCAACCAACTGAGCCACACTGCCCAAGGCTCAACCATTTTTAAGTGTACAGTTCCATAGTGTTAAATGTATTGGCAACAGATCACCAAAACTTTTTCACCTTGCAAAACAGACTCTATACTGAATAAATAGCAACTCCCCATTTTCCCTCCCTCGGCCCCTGGAGGCCACCATTCCACTTTCTGTTTGTGTGAGATTAACTACTTAGGCACCTCGTATAAGTGGAATCATAAAGTATTTATCTTTTTGTGACTGGTTTATTTCTCTTAACACAATTTCCTCAAGGTCCATTCCTGCTGTAGCATGTGACAGGAGTTCCTTCCTTTTTATACACCACTGTCCAGGATGGGCAAAAGTAGGTTAAATTACCAGCATCAAGGATACAAAATAATAATGACAAATACAAATAATAAATAAATAATAATACAAGAATAAACTCTGTTTTGTATACTCTACAAATGTAAACCTATTTTTGCCCATCGGTTCCTGGCACACCCCTTTATACACTGAGGGGACAGATTATTATGATCTCTGAATGCATAATATAATAATCTGGCCACTCAGTGTATATCCTATATAATAAAAGGCTAATATGCAAATTGTCCCCTTGACCAAGAGTTTAACCAGCAGGCAGGCCAGCCAACCATCCATGTCCCCTCCCCCTGGCCAGGCTGCTGGACCCCATCGGTGCACGAATTCATGCACTGGCTCAGTGGAAAGGTTATATATATACACACACACTGAGTGGCCAGATTATGCGTTCAGAGATCATAATAATCTGGCCACTCAGTGTGTATTTCTAAATTAGGAGTTTAAAAAGTTACAGATCTCTTTTGACCTTTTCTGCCAGATTGTCCCTCTCTGAATTAGGAAGTATACATCCTTAAGAAATCATGATATTTGGGTTAGCCTCTCAATTTTTCCAGGCCTCTATCAGGTGGAAAAACTCACCCTATTTGAAAATCTAGCTTCTTCAAAATTCTTGGTAAAATTTTGGATTGACTTCCTCCCCAGGGCTATCCTTTCTGCTTCTAACAGAAGTTGTAGCTCATTCAGAGAAGAATTTTATTCTGGTTGCAAATTGTTGAATCATATTAAAAAAAAATCTCAACAGGTCCTTAAAATATTCACAGCTATCCCTAGGAGTTTCTAATTGGTATATGTCTTTTCCAGACCATCAGCCTCAGGCCCGTAATACCATCTGTTTTTGTGCCTCAAATCTGAGCCTAAACCGAAATCCCCCAGAAGCTACTGCCTATGAAAACGTTCCTGATTTCCAGCCAGCGTTAGGGGCAATGCATATCCCCAGGGTCGAGGCGACAGCAGGGCTAGTCAGAGGAAACCGAGACCCAGAAAGAAGAGTCATTCCCTCAATAGTCACCAGGTCTCCAAAAAGCAGAGGGCTCATTTGATGCCACACTTTTTTCCTCACGAACGTTCATTTTCTTAGATGCTTCCTGATGTTTACTTTCCTAGTTACTGAATGTGAAAATAATCACATTGCTGAAAATCCTTGTAATATATGCTTGGATGCCTTAAGTTAAAGGCTCTGTATTAATACACTTCTAGAGTTCAACTCTAGATCTAGGACTGGGTGGCCAACTTCTTCCGAAAGTGCTTCCAGGCTCCTCTAAATGACTCTTCAGACTTGAGAATAAGAGCCTTTCTAGTGGAGGAAAAACCGCTGAACTTCTCTTTAGGTCAGTGGCACTGGGACCCCCCACCCCCCACCCCCCCCCCCCCCCCCCACCCCCACCCCCCGCCCCACCCCCCCACCCCCCACCCCCGAGCCCCTGGTAGACTACCACTTGGTTTTGTGTTCAGTGGGATTAAGGTGTTTTGGATTAAGATGACATAAACACAAACAGCTATATATACACAACAACAAAAGTGACTTTAACATAGAGTTCAAGGTGAATGTTTTAGGCAGAAATGACAGAGACAATAAGCCTAGATACACTCTAGGAAAAGAGTGTTTGCCCAGGTATAGCCCAGAATTGTGACACTTATGACACAGCACGTCTGGAATAATCGGAATGACTAACATTACAGTCTATTATTTCAGAAAGGTTATAAAAAAAGAAAAGAAAAAGAAAAAAACACACCCACCTATGGCCTCACACCATGTGTAATGTGGGTGAGGTAGTAAACTTGTGAGAATGTTCACTTCTGCATTTCCTGCTTCAGGAAGAGAGGTGGGTGGGGGGGTCTAAAATGTCCTATGCCTGTTAGTGATTCTGTAAGTGCTTGATTAGTACTGGTTTCTTGGGCAAAAGAGAAGTGGTCAAAAGTTACCGATCTGCCGAGACCAGTTTGGCTCAATGGATAGAGCATTGGCTTGGGGACTGAAGTGTCCCAGGTTCTATTCCGGTCAAGGGCATGTACCTTGGTTGCGGGCATATCCCCAGTAGGGGGTGTGTAAGAGGCAGCTGATCCATGACTCTCTCTCACCGATGTTTCTAACTATCTCTCTCCCTTCCTCTCTGTACAAAATCAATAAAATATATTTAAAAAAAAAAAGTTACCGATCTGCCCTAGCACTATCCACTGCCGGTTTGCTCAGTGGATAGTGCGTCTGCCTGCAAACTGAAGGGTCCTGGGTTTGATTCTGATCAAGGGTACATGCCTGGGTTGCAGGCTTGATCCCAAGTCCGGGGGGGGGGGTGTGCAGGAAGCAGCCAACCAATGATTCTCATCATTGATGTTTCTGTCTTTCCCTCCCTCTTCCTCTCTGAAATCAATATATACATTTATATATTTAAAAAATCTTATATGCTGAGTACAGAACACATTCAAAATTTTTTCAGGTCCTCAAAGAATCAATAAAACCATTTTCCTTTTTGATAACTAAATTGGGTTGTCTTGTATCTTAAATCCATAAATTCATTAAAAAAAAAATATAGAGGGTCATTTTCTCTGATTCAAAAATTCTTGGTTTGGGGTACTTAACACGAATCTCTGAAATCCTATCCTCTGTGTGGGCATTTAAGACCCAGGAGCCAGATTTTTAGAATAGAACATTGCAATCCTGGTTCCATAAAACACAGTTTATAAACTAACAGACATATGCTGCAGCACCTCCACCAATCCCAATAGTCGCTCTGGCTTACAAAGAAGTAAATCTGTGTTAGCACATACAGATATATTGACTATCAGCATAATTGGGCCATACAATTTATATACAGTTTAAGAGGCTGATGAGAAAGAAAAGGTCATAAAACAAGGCTGCTGCCTTCTGAGGACAAAGCGGGCTGAGTGTGTGCCTGGGCATGGGGAGCACCCAGCCGGCTCAGAGCTGGCAGCAAGAGCAGAGGGTAGGGAAGTTTTGTACAGCGCACTGAGGAGCCACGCACAGCGATGCAGGAAACCCGGTGCCGTGAGGAAGCGGCAGTAAATAAGCTTAGAATGGGGGCTGGAGAGGCTAAGTGTCGAGAAGGTATGAATAAGTAGAGCTGCGTTTCTCCATAATTTAGGGCAAAGACCAGAGAGAAAGGAATCGTAAACTACTCCATTGGGGAGAACTGAAGGTGTGATAACAGAGACGTGTTAAGGGGCATTAGAGACAGTAAAAAAAAAAAAAAAAAAAAAAAAGGGAAGGGGAGTCCAGGCGTTGACTACTGAGCATTACTCCCGGGAGGAGGGTCTGCCGGGATAAGGGGAGAAGGTGTGCAGGGCCAGGAATTGTCGGGCAAACTATGGGCAAGGCTGTGCAGACGTCAGCAGCCGAGGGAAGAGCAGGGGGGCCGGTGCGCGGTCCAGAGAAGGACCGGCTCCCGCGCGGCGGTGGGGAGGAGGCGGGGAGGACTCCGCCGACAGACAGCAGCTCCCCGGCGGGGCCTACAGGGTTAACGCTCCAGCCGCGACCAGAGGCAGGACTCGGTTTCCAGGGCAACGGCCCCGACAGTTCCGGCAGCGCAGGCCGTACCACTGCGCGGCGCGCGGGGGGAGGCGAGGAGGAGGCCCGGCGCCCGGCGGTGCCGCGGAGCTCCGTCCCGGGCGCTACCACCGCGCGGCCCGCCTGCTCGCCCGGCTCTGCGCCGAGACGCGCTCCGGCCGCCCGGCCGCCGCGTCCTCCTTGCCGGGCCTGCGGCTGCCAGCTGCCCGCGGACGGCGGGGGAAGGACCGCGCGCCCGTGGCCCGGAGCGGCCTCCTGGTCCCCCCGCCTGGGCGGCGGAGTGCGGGCGGCCCGGGCTGGGAGCTTTGAAAAGCGGACGGAGACAAAGGCAGCAGGAAGCCTCCCGGCACCCGGAGCCCCAGCGCGCAGCCCCCGGGCCCGCACGGCGCCGGCCCGGAGCGGGGGCGGCCGTGGCCGTGGCCGTGGCCGCGGCGGGAGGCGGAGGATGCGGCAGGGGGCGTGGGAGCGGCGGCGGCGCGGGCGGAGCGGCGCGGCCCGGGCGCGGCGTGGGTAGAGCCCCGGCGGCGGCGCGGCGGCCCAGGCGGCCCGGGAGTGAGTGAGGGCGCCTTCCCCGCCCGGGATGTGAGGACCGAGCGGAGCCCGGGGCGGGGGGAGGGACGGGAAGGGAGGCGAAGCCGGCAGGAAGGAAGGAAGGACGGACCAGGAGGAGGAGCGGCAGCGGCCGGAGCCGGAAGGCGGGGAGGGGCCGTCCGTTGGGCCCCAGGCGGCGGCGGCGGCGGCGGCGGTCGGGGCGAACCGCGCTCGTCGCCTCCTCCCCCCCGGCTCCGCGGCGGGGGGAGGAGGAAGATGGAGACCCACATCTCGTGCTTGTTCCCCGAGCTGCTGGCCATGATCTTTGGCTACCTGGACGTCCGGGACAAGGGGCGCGCGGCGCAGGTGTGTGCGGCCTGGCGGGACGCCGCCTACCACAAGTCGGTGTGGCGGGGGGTGGAGGCCAAGCTGCACCTGCGCCGGGCCAACCCGTCGCTGTTCCCCAGCCTGCAGGCCCGGGGCATCCGCCGGGTGCAGATCCTGAGCCTCCGCCGCAGCCTCAGCTACGTGATCCAGGGCATGGCCAACATCGAGAGCCTCAACCTGAGCGGCTGCTACAACCTCACAGACAACGGGCTGGGCCACGCGTTCGTGCAGGAGATCGGCTCCTTGCGCGCCCTCAACCTGAGCCTCTGCAAGCAGATCACCGACAGCAGCCTGGGCCGCATCGCCCAGTACCTCAAGGGCCTGGAGGTGCTGGAGCTGGGCGGCTGCAGCAACATCACCAACACCGGCCTGCTGCTCATCGCCTGGGGCCTGCAGCGCCTCAAGAGCCTTAACCTCCGCAGCTGCCGCCACCTCTCGGACGTGGGCATCGGGCACCTGGCCGGCATGACGCGCAGCGCGGCCGAGGGCTGCCTGGGCCTGGAGCAGCTCACGCTGCAGGACTGCCAGAAGCTCACCGATCTGTCTCTGAAGCACATCTCCCGGGGCCTGACCGGCCTGAGGCTCCTCAACCTCAGCTTCTGCGGGGGAATCTCGGACGCGGGCCTCCTGCACCTGTCGCACATGGGCAGCCTTCGCAGCCTTAACCTGCGCTCCTGCGACAACATCAGTGACACGGGCATCATGCATCTGGCCATGGGCAGCCTGCGCCTCTCGGGGCTGGACGTGTCGTTCTGCGACAAGGTGGGGGACCAGAGTCTGGCTTACATAGCGCAGGGGCTGGACGGCCTCAAGTCTCTCTCCCTCTGCTCCTGCCACATCAGTGACGACGGCATCAACCGCATGGTGCGGCAGATGCACGGGCTGCGCACGCTCAACATAGGGCAGTGTGTGCGCATCACCGACAAGGGCCTGGAGCTGATCGCCGAGCACCTGAGCCAGCTCACCGGCATAGACCTGTACGGCTGCACCCGCATCACCAAGCGCGGCCTGGAGCGCATCACACAGCTGCCCTGCCTCAAGGTACTCAACCTGGGACTCTGGCAGATGACGGACAGTGAGAAGGTCAGGTGAGGGTGGCAGCATCAACTCCCCTTGTCCCCCCTCCATTATCCTGTCACCACCACCCTCCCTGCACTCTCAACGCCACATGCGTCCTTATGCGTAGGTCATTGCAGTGGATGAGATGGGACAGTGACACGAAGCCTCAGGCTCATTTTCTCCCCCCTCCAGCACCCCTGCCCGCTTACATGCCCATTCATTGCTTCTGGGGGTTCCTCTGCTGCCCCTCCCGTACTGCCCTCTTTCCCCCTGAGGATGAACAGAGAGACTCAGCTACTTACCTAGCCACTTCTCTCTACTGTGGGGAATGGAGGGGCCGATGGAGCTACTGTATCCCCACTGCGCTGCATTTCCAAATGGGGTGGGGGTGGGGAGTAACTAGTCCTTTGGCCCTGGGGAGTTGAAGAAAATGTCTGCCTTCACTTAAGCTTTCATTTGAATACTGTGATCTGGTTTTTATTTTGAAATGTATGAAATCAAACCCGACTACAACGGCCTTTTCACCCTTCTTCCACTTTGTAGCTAATCCCAGTTTCTTCTCATCATTTCTCTTTTTACAGTACTCTGCTATTCATGCTCATTTCATTTTTTATTGCCTTTTTTTTTTTTTCCTTTTTTAAGAGATTTGAAATCATGGTCCTTTTTTTCTGCTGAATATATTCTATATATTATATATATATAAATTTTATATATATATATATATATGTCTGGCTACCTCGTTTTAGTTTACTTTTTTCTCTGAAGCCCTGGAATTCTACAAGAGAGATATTTTGAGACTAAAACATTTTTGTGCCTAGACTGGAAAGATGCCCATTGGGTTTGTGTCTTTTTTGTTTTGGCTTCTTCCCCACCCCATCCATCCAGTATGTCCCACTTCCACATTTTGGCTATAATCATTTTTCTCCTTGTCCATTGGGATTTGAGAGCCCAACTACGTTCCTAAATCTTGACTTAATTTATAGCACAAATGTGTGGGGAAAATGAGAGTTGGACTGTTTCGTTTGAGATGCAGATTGTCTTGAAAATTATTATTATATATGCAAATTCCGCCCTACCCTCACCCTCTTCCAAGTTTCCTCAAAAAAAGAGTCACACAGTGAGCTTCCTGTTGGAAGCAGGAGCGGAGCTGCCCACAGAGCCCTGGGCTGTAATGTGAGGGGAGGAGACTGAAATTCATGTCTTATCTCTGTTCTGTTAATAAAATGGGAGTTTGTGGGTTTTAAAAATTGTTTCTAAATGGAGGAGTAGGTGACTTTATTTTGGTGGGGGTTGGAACTTGTGGCTTTAAAAAAAAATCGCTTTTCAGTAGGATGTATATTTTTGTTGGATTTGTTTGTTTGTTTGTTCGTTTTTAGAATCCCTCCACAGCAACATTTGAGACCATGGAGTTAAAAGAAACCCAGAGACCTTTATCAATTAATTGTACTGTTTGTGAATTTGTATAAATAACAAAGATCCTCTTAAAACGTTTATATTCTTACAGTAAAAGGTTAAACTGATATTTATATAATAAAAGAGGAAATATGAAGTATGTTTTTGAAAAAAAAAAAACAAAAAACCTTGTAGCTGTGAATTATTTTGAAGGCAGTGTGTTTGGGTACATGCCAAAGTCGGAGGTGCTGTTTGTGTGCTTTCAAGTATAAGGAAATAAGACGTAGACGTCGGAGTGTCCTATGTGCTATGAGTAAGCTCATGGTTAAAATGTATTCTGTATAAGGTTTCCTACTGACATCTCAATGTTTTGTTTTTAGAAATATGGTGAGATTGGAGATTTATATAATTTGGTTTTCAACTGTCAACAAAATGGAAATTTACAGAAACTGAACAAATGAAACTTTTTAAAAAAAACAGATTTGTAAGAGTCACAGTTTCCTCAGAGTAGCCAGTTTTTCTTTGGGTGGAAATTACATCTAGGGATAATGTTCAAAAAACAGGTCGTAAGATATGGAAGTGGGGAAGAAAGATGGGTTTCTTTACACTCTGAGTGGGTGTGGGGAGGATGTGAAATGGTGAAGGCTGAAGGGAACTGAAGCCATTGTTCAGAAAAGTTAAAAGAGGGCTGTCCCTGCTTCCTCACGGCTGGCTCAGTCATGCATACTGAATCTCAGTGTGAGTGAGGGTCCCAGGGAGGAGGCGGCAGCTCAGCCCCTCTTTGACATGCTCCTCCAGGCCTGGCCGTACGCGCACTGTGCTGGGGGAGGGGGAGGTCGGCCTGGAGTCCTTGCACATTTGCATTTTAAGCACTTCCAACGCTGAGTGTGAGGGTTCTTAAGACTATTTAGGGGCAGATAAGTGAAAACCAACAATTTTAGCAAAGCGTTCCCTTTGATAGACGGTAACTAATCTGACATTCTGTGGTTGGGCTTTGGAGATGGAAGAATATAAATGCTGCTCAAACAGTGAAGTAATTTATATTCCTGGTTCACATAGATCTTTCATAGTTGTTTCTGGAAAAATTTTTTAAACAGAAAGTACCGATTCCAGCAACAGCTGATAAGAGTGGTATAAAACTTCCCTGGATAAGCACCTCTTTCCAGGAAGAGAGCTAGAACCCGGTTTCTCTTGGATAAGGTTGCTTTGTACAATGTCCAAGCCTTCTGCTTGAGCATATCACAAAAGCTGCATTGTTCCTTTCTGAGGAGCCATCATAATTGGGTCTAATTGAGCCTGACACTGAATCCATCTTCCTTTTCTTGGGGAAGGTGTGGCTCTCCTCCCTTTTAACTTACTGCCTGGGGGGCGCGGGGGGGGGGGGGTGAACCCTAGTCCGAAGTGGGGGTTTTGAATTAGGGTCAGTTTTCTAATTCAGCATTTGACCCTACTACACATGAAGGTCACATAAACTGCAGATTCTTCAACTGATTTTCTTTTTCCAAGACACTGCATGGCTGTATGGATTGTCAATAAAAACTGGCGCCTTCTAAGTCCTAGGCTCTGTGCTCGCAGTCTTCATTTTAATACCCCACATAATCCTACCAACTGTAACCAGAAGGGTTTTACGTTTTCTGTTTTGTTTGGTTTTTACTGTAAAGGTTAAACACAAGCTTGACAAAAGGTTGGCAAATTAACGCTTGAAAGTTAAAGATCATGAGCCTAGTGTCCTCATCCTGAACGAGGCATACTTAATACATTTGGAGTGTCTCTGGAAAAGATGAACAAACCACTTTCATCAATCAAGTTAACTTATCTCTCAACCTTTTTGGAGAGAAGAAAAGGAATATGTGTTAAGAAACTATAGTGTGCTTTGCCTGGTACTTCTTCTAGTCCTCAAAGCGACCTGCTGAAAGGTATGCTATTTTCCAATAAAGTACCGTATTTTTCGGACCATAAGACGCACCAGTTTTTAGAGAAGGGAAATGAAGAAAAAAAGATTCTGAAACAAATAGTGTCCTAAAATATTTTATGTGCATTAAAACCCAACATCACAGTCATAAACACATGTAATCAACCCTGTAAAGTAAACAGCAGCATTTAGAACCATTTTAGAGCCGGGCAAGCACACAGAGACCACACAGAGCCGGGCAAGTAAAAAAACTTTTTTTAAAAGTATATGTGTAGGCTATATTTGGACCATAAGACGCAGGGACTTTTTCCCCCCACTTCTGGGGGGAAAAAAGTGCGTCTTATGGTCCGAAAAATACGGTACGTATACTGTTCCCCTTAAGTCACCCCACTGCTGGTTGAGGGGAGACAGAACTCAGACCAGGCCCATTTCTGAAGTCCACCTCCCTCTGCTCATTGAGGAGGCGGTCATTATCGGACCTGGGTTCCCAGCAGGAAACCTCACAGGAGGGGAAGCTGTTTAAATGGTGTGGACATGCTTATGCCGCAGGACGGGGTTCAATCTCCACCAAACCTACAAGCAGGGAAACCGCTCCTAAAGAATAGATGCACTAGCCGGGGCCCCTTTGGCTCAATGGATAGAGCGTCTGCTTGGGGACTGAAGGGTCCCGGGTTCGATTCCGGTCAAGGGCATGTACCTTGGTTGCGGGCATATCCCCAGTAGGGGGTGTGCAAGAGGCAGCTAATCGATGACTCTCGCTCATCGATGTTTCTAACTATCTCTCTTCCTTCCTCTCTGTATAAAATCAATAAAAAATATATTAAAAAAAAAAGAATAGATGCACTAAAGAAAATTAGTTGACACATATTTTGTGGGTGGTACAAAACTTAGAAGTCAAGGGTAATTTTAAGAAGAACAGAAAAAACCTGGTTCAGGTATTTGCTAAAACTTCAGAACTGAAAAACCAAAATAGGAAGTCTGTAAACTTTATCATCTAATATTGATAAACCTCCAGATAAACTCTTTGAAGTTAAGACAGGGTTCCACATACCTTTCTTTTCTCAGTCTCATCGGGCAGTAGCCCTGTAAGGCCTGTATTGAAGAGATTATTTACAAATGTAACGGTGGGGTTCAGACAGTTTCTCAGCCCCTAAGGACCATGGTGGGCCTCTGGCTAAGAGCTGGGCGTGTTACATAATTCTCTCAGCTATGACTCCTTCCTGCTGAATTCCTCAGTCCTTAGGCGGGGGAGGGCCCACTTGATTGATTCCACATTTGCTAACAGGGACAAGGATAGGATGCTTGCCTAACTCACAGTATATCCTGATCATATTCTTTCATGACTTAAATAACAACAAGGACCTGACGAAGCAAATGTTCCTTTTAATGGAGTTTCTTTATGAAGGTAAGAACTGTCTTCAGTAAGGACACATGCTACATAAATTGAAGACTGGCTTTTACCCAAATCCTCCTGCTTCCTGCCGTGGTTACTGGGTAGATGCTGGTCTTGGGATGGAAAACCTTTCACTTGGGCTTACAGAAGGCCACTACCCTCACCCCAGGTTTTCAAAGGGGTAAGGGAAGGAGCCTCCAGGGACCACTGTTTCCAAAGTATAAGAGTCTATTGAGTAAAACATCCGATTAGTGAGACAAAACCAAGACCTCAGAGAGCTTCTGACAACCCGCTTTTCCCAGTCCCTCAGCCCCTGGCGGCCCTGCTGTGGACGGGGCTGCTGTCTTTCTCTTCCCTCACCAAACACTGCTCCCTTTGGAAAGTTAATTACATCCCTTTACTAGAGGGCAAGACCTAAATTTTGTGCCACTGTGAACCCCTGAGGAGTCAGGGGTGAGGCTTTTTATTATTAAATAATGTGTATCATGTGTAAAGCACAAGATTCAGAATTGGGAAAAAGCTACATTCAAACTTAAGCTGATGCTTAGACCACACATCTCACTTTCATCCACATATGTGTTCAAATATTAGGTAGCAAATTAAATCTTTTGAAAAACAATGTCATGAAACATCCATACCTGGGTCAACGCCAACTCTTAATAATTTAGACCTTATCAAAGGTAAGTGCACACTCAGACCATATGTATACTCTCAGACTTGGGTAAAAAAAAAAGGGGGATATTTTTAGACAACTGGCAAATTTAAATGCCACATGGTGAGTTTCAGTCTTTTTGTCTTTTCCAAGGACTGCTCTGATTTCCCCTGGTGCTGCGGCCCAACACATGTGGCCTCTGGAAAGCCAAGTCTCCTAGGCTAGGTGCATGGGAAAGTGAGCCGAGATCTCAACTGCGCAGCCCTGGAGCGGGGCTCCAATCAAATCAAACCGAGTACAAGTGGAATTCCCTCAAGTCAAACCGAGTACAAGTGGAATTCCCTCTAGTCAAACCGAGTACATCCCCTCAAATCAAACCGAGTACAAGCGGAATTCCCCTGCCTGCTGTTAACCCAAAAAAAAGTGTACTTTTTGTTATTTAAAGGCAAGCTTTTATTACTGTATTACTTTTGCACTTTAATTGTTTGAAAGACAAATGCCACATATTCTTGTACGTTTGCTTTTATTTGTGAAAGTGGACAATAGTCTCCATTACAAAGAAGAGAAGAATAGGTCTCCAGTAGCAGCAAAGACACCAGGTGGGACTGTGCTGGAATGTGAATGCAGCCTGCTGGAAGAACTTAGTCATCACACTGCATTCTCTGTCTCAGTCTGTTTTCCCAGATCTGGCAGGGACTGTACATTTGATTTCATAAGTGGGGAAAGAGGCTTGGCAAGGATGAAAAGATCCTGCCTAGGTGATATGAAGGGTCAGTGTCGGAGCCAGGGCTGCTCCAGACTTTAATGACCACACCCAGGAGTGATCTTTCCCTGAGACACTGCAAAGCACCATCCTGATCCCTTGCTTCGGAAAAGTGGTGAACCAGAGCATATTTTCTTTGGGAGTAAAAAAACACACAAAACTTCCAAATGCTGAAAGTTACAACTATTGAATATTTAATAAGCATTAAGTTATGCAAACACAGATACATGTTTTGCAAGCATTATATATAGGGCTATTCAAGAAGCCAAAAACTAGTGCAAGTTAGTAAATGGATTACGGGGTACCCAAGTAGCTAGTAGTGTCAAATTTGTCACTTGCTATCCTCAGAGGTCTTAAACTAGTTTCTAAAGCACTGCTTTGTGACAAACAGCAATGTAATGTACAAACACTGGAAGTCTGGTTTGTAATAGCCTCAAAGCTAAGTACACACGTTTAAGACATTTATGAGTGTTTGTCATGCAATCCTTTTATAAAGTAGAATTGAGTGTGGGAAACACTATTTTCATGCAAGGATAAAAAGGCTTGACTTCACAGATGTTTTA